GAAACAATGTAAAAATTATCCTTTTAATTTTTTGTTTCCTTATTATTATCATTTTTTTGTATTAAAGAATAATTTTACAAAAGAAAGAAACATATATGGATATATTTTTGCATATAATTATATATAATTATATATTTTTACATACGTTTATATATATATTTATATGTATATGTTCTTATATGAAAAAATTTTTTCCGGGATGCCAAAATATGATATGCTAGTTTCACACACGTAATAAATATATTGTCTATAAGAGCACTACTGCTGAACTTTGTGATAATGAAATTGTAAAATATGTGTAGTTTACACAATAAATAGATTTTCCTGATCGACCGAGACTTTTACAATACATATTATATATATAACTTCAATGAAATGTTTAATAACTCATAATGAATGCCTTTGGTGGTCCCATTATATACATTTATAAATTGTCATGAACTGCAGAAGATAGATTTTTGTGAATGGCCAAACAAAGCAAACTTTAATTCTGTTCCAGACTCCTTTAGGAAATGCGCGGAAGTATAAGAACCTCGGAAATGAATATTTTAAAAAGGAAAAATATGATGAAGCTATCATTCAATATAATAAAGCAATTGACATTTGTCCGAAAATAAAGGCGAACGCGAATGACCTCGCGATTTATTATCAAAATAGAGCGGCTGCGAATGAACAATTGGTAATAAAATTGATGATACTAACAATAAACGTAACATAAAAATTTGATTTTACAATTAATTGTTGAAGTGTCTATGTGATATAAGAGTCACTGTTCACACAATTATAATTGCAATTATAGAAAAAATATAATGACGTAAAGGCAGATTGTACAAAAGCCTTAGAATTAAATCCAAAGTATATGAAAGCTTTGCTACGTCGGGCACGTGCTTTAGAGCAATTAGGAGACTTGGAAGCTGCTTTGGACGATTTGACTACCGCGCGCATTGACGAACACTTTTCTAATCAAACTATCAATGCAATGGCAGACGAGATCTCGGAAAAGCTTGGTGAGTTACATATCAGAAGCATTTGATATCAAATAAAATGCTGTTTACTTCAAACTTGAACAAAAATTGAGAAATAGGAACAGAGAAATTTAGTAACTTAAAGTAAAATTATTTTCAGTAAATCAATATGTCCAGGAAAATTTGGAAAACAAAAAGTTTATAATGCCAAGTAAGGAGTTAATCAAAATGTTAATGTTATCTTTCCCTAAAGATCCAGTATTTTCTAAACTTCAACATCCAGAAAATATTCCAGAGTAAGTAGAAAAATGTTTCTGATACTTGTAACGTTTACTTTTTAATGTAATATTTGTTTTCAGATTTTTCAAGAAACCATTACAAGCGTTAAAAGACAAGAAGTACGATGATGTAATACCGCTTTGCACGGAAATTATTCAAAGACCCGAATTTGATACATTACCTTCATCTAAACTAGAGGTGCTATTGTTACGAGCTACATTTTACATATTTTTGAAGAAACACGATTCTGCAATCCAAGATTTGGAAAGAATATTGAATAGCGGAAATGTATCCGATGGCGTAAAGATAAACGCCCTAATAAAGAGAGGAACGTTATATGCACATCAGAAGAATGATCTAGAAACGGCTTTCAAAGACTTTGAATTAGCTATTAATATAGATCCAAGTTATAGTGAGATCTATATTTCAGAGGACTGGTATTGTATGCATATTAACATTAAATACATATTTTTCACTTATTGCACGTGTCAAAAATAACATAAAATATGATAAAAATACTATTTTATCATTTCAGATATATTGGAACATTGGCAGATTTGATAAATCTACGCACGATTTTGACACGGCTATTTTATACAATCCAAACTTTTGCACAGCATATTTGGGAAAATATTCTAATTGGTATTATTTTATAAAAAATGTATGTGGTTTCTTCAACACAGATTGTACTGTTAAACTAGCCGACGAAACTGCGAAACATATTAAGAGATGTTTCCAATTCTGTCCAAATATTTCAGAACGATCATTGTGTTATAGATTTTATACCGAGGTACGTTTACTTATAATTTCTTAAGAAAAATAATTGGAATTAAAAAGAAATAAGTAATGGATTATTATCATTGTGCTGTAAACATTTTGATTTATTAATAAAATTTTCAATTATTGCAGCTGTTGTTCGAAAGTCGGCAGTATAAGTTGGCTGATACTTTTGTTGTTAAAGCAATAAAAGAAGATCCAGAAAACGCCTGTATGCATGTGCGCAGAGCCATACTGCAATTACGGTGGAAGGATGATGTAGATAAAGCTGCGGAATATCTAACCAAAGCGTTAGAATTGGATGAGAGATGCGACGGCGCACATGAAGTATTAGGAAATATCGCAAAACGAAAGTATGTTTCCATTGAATTTTTTCTAATTATACATTTATCTCTAAATTTACGTGGGTTTTTTAATGCGATATTTATCAGTTTCATTTTATTGTATTTTTATGTAAATATATAAGATAAATATTTTTATATCATATACAGGCTTTTCTCTTACTCTTTTTATTGACAGATTTCAGTTACAACTATAATTACGCTTCACCGTCACTCTTAATCGGATTTAATAAAATTTGCAATTATTAAATAAACTAGTCAATCAAAGCTATTCCTTTGCAGAATAAAATAACTGTGATTAGTCAGTTTTATAACTATAGATGTTATTAAACCCGATTACGAGTAACTTGTAGTCATTTACATGACCGCGCGTGAAAAGAATCACGTGAAATATTTCGCGTAAATTGAGAAACGAGTGTGGTGGCATTTTCAAAATAAACCAGTTGCAATCATATATAGGTGATTTATATAAGGAATCTAAAGATATTTTAATGAAAATATTCGGAATTCATTTCTTTTTTCAGATCGGAAGAGCACACGTCTG